CTAATACAATTGTAGTGGGGGAACCTCAGTATCCCACTGTCACAAACAGATCAACTAGACAAAAAAAATCAAAAAAGAAATTTCAGAGCTGAACCAAACCTTTTAACAAATGGGCTTAGTAGATATCTACAGAGTGTTGCACCCAACAACAACTAAATATACTTTCTTCTCATCTGCACAATGGGACTTTTTCCAAATAGACCACTTCTTGGATAGAGAGAACAATTACAGTAAAAATAGCCATACTTCCAAAACTATTAAAAAGGTTTAATACAATCTCAATCAAAATATCAATAGCGTACCTCACAAAACTAAAAAAAAAAATCATAAAATTCACATGGAACTAGGAGAGACCTAGAATAAATAGCAAAAGCAATTCTGGCCAACAAGTGCAAAGCAGGGGGCATCACAACCTCAATGGAACAAAATAGAAGATGCAGAAACAACTCCAAGAACGCTCAGCTACCTTATCTTTGACAAAGGGGCCAAACACCTTCAGTGGAAGGAAAATCACCTCTTTAATAGATAGCGCTAGGAAAACTGGCTTTCCACATGATGAAAATTGAACCTAGACCTATATCTCTCACCATTCACTAAACTAAAATAAAAATGGACCAAGATCTAAATATTAAAATAGAAACACTAAATCTGCTGAAAAAATAAAATAGGTAAAACTCTTGAAGACAGGTGTAGGCAAAGATTTTATGAACAAAACCCCAATGGCATGGGAAATATTACAAAGAATCAACAACTGGGATCACATCATATTAAAAAGCTTTTTATACATCAAAAGAAACTACCAACAGAGTGAAGAGATAATCCACAGAATGCAAACAATTTTTTATCAGCTATTCCTCAGGAAAAAGACATATCCAGAATATATAAAGAACTAAAAAAAAAAAAATCAGACCCCCCCCAAATTTAAAGACCCAATAAAAAAATGGGCATCTGAAATTAATAGACAGACATTTCTCAGATGAAGTACAAGCAGCAAATAAATATATGAAAGGGCTGGGAGTTTAGCTCAGTGGTTCCGCCACCTGCCTCACAAGTGCAAGGACCCAAGTTTGATCCCTGGTACCCCTGCCAAAATGCTCAACTCACTGGCCATTTAAGAAATGCAAATCAAAACAACCCTTAGATTCCACCTCACCCCAGAAAGAATGTCTGTCATCAAGAAATCAACTAATGACAAATTCTGCCAAGGCTGTGAGGAAAAAGGAACCCTGCTCCATTGCTGGTAGAAATGTAAATTAGTACAACCATAATGGAGAAAGTTAAAACAACAAGGAAAATTTTGAAAGTAAGTAAATGCAGGTGTTGTGCTTTCTATGGTAATTCTATTACGCAGATTTTCAAAGTTTAAATCAAGTGACACTAATTTTTGTGGAAAATATAATACAGATAACAACACTGACCATTTCCCTACCCTCCAGTACTAGGGATTGAACTCATGGCTTTCCCGGCAGCTATACCCCTAGACCTTTTTTACTTTTCATCTTGAGATGGGATCTCTCTAAGAGTCTCTCTAGTCATTAAATTGCCTAGCCTGAACTGGAACTTGCAATCTCTCTGCCTCAGCCTCCCAGAGTTCTGGGATTGCAGGCATGCACCACCATACCCAGCACCATGGGAACCATTTCTAAGCCCCTTATTCTACAGTTCAGTGGCACTGGGTACATTCATGTTGTGGGTCGTTATCACTATTCCTCTTGAGGAATTTCTAACCACATTGCTATCATTTGGGTGTGGTTGAATCACTTCATTATGTTCCACAAGGGCCCATGTGCTGAAAATGTGTTTCCCAGAGTGACAGTGCTGGGGTGTGCTATGCCCTTTCTGAGAGGTGAGACTCAGCAGGAAGTCTGCAGGCCACTAGGGCAGTGCCCCAAGGGGCACCTGGTCTCCCTGCTGTCTTCCTCTCTGCTCTGTGGCTTACAATGTGCTCCCATCATGCTGCCTGCCATATGCAGCCTCACCATGGGGCAAGTCACTGGGGGCTCCATCTGGAACTGAGCCTCCAAAACTGGGAGCCACATAAATTTGTCTTAGCCAGCTGTGGTGGTGCATGCCTGTAATCCCAGCATTCTTGGAGACTGAGGAAGGAAGATCAGGAGTTTGGGATGAGTCTGGGCAATTTAGAGATTTAGCGATAGATACCCTGCATTAAAATGAAAAAAGTGAGCCGAGCGCAGTGGTGCACGCCTATGATCTCAGCATTCGGGAGGCTGAGGCAGGAGGATCACTGTGAGTTCGAGACCGACCTGGGCTACACAGTGAGTTCCGGTTCATTCTCAACTACATAGTGAGACCCTGTCTCAAACAACCAAAAAATAAATAAATAAATAAATAAATTAATTAATTAAATGAAAAAATTGCTGTGATGTAACTCAGCACAAAGGTCCTGGGTTCAATACCCAATAATGCAAAACAAAACAAAACAAACAAAACTCTCTTTACTTCTTAAGTAGCCTCCATTAGATATTTATTAAAGTGATAGAGAATGTATCCCACACTAAAACTGTACTTATTAAATAATGATCCCCATTATCACTCCTGCCCAGCTCACAGTGTTTTAGTTTCTGAGAGAGTGGATTTTTTATAAAAGTGGGTTCAGCCTTTTCTGGTCCTTCTACCTTCTGCCATGGGATGACAAATAGGAAGGTCCTTGTCAAATGGGGGAGCCACGTTCTGTACTCACAGCCTCTAGAACCATGACCGTGACCGCTGAACACAGGGTGCAGTGGGCTCTGACTGTGTCTTTCCCTGACACTGAACACTGGAATTTCAAGGGCTTTGACAACCCTGCAGTTGTGACAGTAAATGAAGCTTTACTGGGACGGACACTCGCGATCGTGTTTCTACTCTCTGCCTCGTTCCTCTAACAGAACCCCGATTTCTTCCGGACAGTTACAGAAACCCAGATTTAAAACAAAACCGACCCATTTCTCAGCATTCCTCGCAAGGAGAGGAGGCCAGGTGACACGGTTCTAGGCGGTGAGGCAGAAGTGCAACTTGCTGGGTATGACACACCGAAAAATACATCCAAAACAGAGCTGAGCCGGGCATGGAGGCACACGCCTGTAATCGCAACGCTCAGGAGGCTGGGGCAGGAGAATCGCTGTGACTCTGAGGCCATCCTGAACTACACAGCGAGGCCGTGTCTCAGAGAAGAAGAAGGAGAGCTGAGTGAAGCAGAAAGTAGTTTGCCATTCTGCCTCCCCTTCACCCTACCTGAAGCCTGGGTGTGGTACAGGGAGTGGCCCTGAGGCGACAAATACAAGGATGAAAAGCCACAGGGTAAAGATGGCTGAGGAAAAGCACAAAAGTAGCACTGACCCCTTGTCTCAGTTACTTTCTTGTAGTAAAGGATACTTTATTTTTATCTCATCTAAAACGAACTTGGGTTGATGCTGAAGTGACAGTGCTTTGTAGCTGCAACAAGACACCTGACACCCACAAGTTAAGGGAGGAAAGGGTTATTTAGCTCAGTTTGTGGATGTTTCAGTTTCTGAGCGGCTCGCTCCAAGGCGGGGTGGCACACGGCAGAGGGGCAACAGTTCAGGGAGGTGGAAGGGAGCAAAAGCAACACGGGAAATTTAACAGCGCCCTCCTATCCCTTTTGTCTTATCCAGACTACCAGGGTTAGGGCAGTGCCAAACCAGACACTCACATGGTTTGATAATCACACACCCTTAATCCCAGCATCACACCCTCTAGATCCAGCCACCTCTGAAAAGCCCTAACCTATGACTGCACGAGGCTTTGGGGGGACATCTAGACACAAACTATAACACCCCTGTTGGATCTGTGGAAATTCTACTTCTTTGGACCTCTGAATCTATTAAAAAGTGAAATCTATGGTTGGCTAAGATGTTATAGGTTCAGTTTGTATGTGGTGTTGGAGACGGAACACAGGGCCTTGCCATGGTAAGCAAGCGCTCTACCACTGAGTTCTACGCAGCCGATGATTGAGCTTGTTCTCTTTTCCCTCTCTTCTTCCATCCTTCCTCCCTCTACCCCAACAGGGTCTTACTGTACAGACCAGGCTGGCCCCAAACTTGAAATCTTCTTGCCGGAGCCTCCCAAGGGCTGGGCTTGCAGGCATGTACCAACAGGCCTGGCATGGGTTAAATTTCCTATCAAAAGATATAGGATTCTTCCAGCCCTTGGGAGGCTGCGGCAGGAGGATCACTGTGAGCTCGAGACCGACCTGGGCGACACAGTGAGCTCCAGTTCATTCTCAACTACATAGTGAGACCCTGTCTCAAACAACCAGTTTTAAAAAACAGGATTGTGGATCCTTGAAGGTCTCCTGGCACTGTCACTTCAGCATCAACCCAAGTTCGTTTTAGATGAGATAAAAAAAAAGTATCCTTATTTGTTTGCCATTTTTACCAGGACAAATAACACTGTTGAAGACGTGTGGGTTCTGGATAAGGACGTGGCACACAATGTACATTGGAAATGCTGGGCCTGAGGAAACTGGAGGACAAGCAAAAGAGGACGACCTGGAAAGAAATGCCTGTATGGTCTAAAGCTTGGGAAAGAGATCTGACCTAAAAAGAGCAGACCGCAAGGATTCACAGAGCCTGTCCTGGGCTGCACAGAGGCTCTGTACCTCTCTCCAAGGAAGACAATAAAGAAGTAAGAGGATTTCATTTGGGCTCCAGAAGACAGGTCTTCCTACGACCAAAGCTGAGG